AAAATTTACGACTAAGACCTTCAAAAAATAATGACTCTTATGATGGCAAAAAAAATTAGTCAGAGAGCAATGTAATGTCAAAGATATTCTTAGTACTGAACTGCAACAAGGTCAGAACATAGGGACAGGAACTCTAATTTGCCCGAACTTCTTCTATGCAAGAACAAGATGAAATTCCTCCAAAAAAGAAGTTAATTTATAAATCAATTTTTACTTTTTTTCTTGGTGGAGTTCATTTGTTCCAACCATAGATTTAGGCGAATTTAGTTTCTGATGTATGAGGTTTTGGTTTTGGCATGATTTCAAACTTAAGGACACATCGTTTCGCCGAGTTGTGTGCTTCCATTAACAGAAGATAATGTGGAGAAGGTATTGGATGAGGTAAGACCAGGGTTAATGGCTGATGGAGGAAATGTTGCTTTACATGAGATAGATGGCTTAGTTGTGGTATTAAAGCTACAAGGAGCATGTGGGTCATGTCCAAGTTCAACAATGACACTGAAAATGGGAATTGAAACTCGTCTTCGTGACAAGATTCCAGAAATTATGGCGGTAGAGCAGATTTTGGACACGGAGACAGGACTTGAACTAAATGAGGAAAATGTAGAAAAGGTTAGGCAAGCGATCCTTTCAATTTTCCTGTTTCTTTCTTTGGAATCATTCCAATGAAATGTTAACTGATGAACACTTAATTCGAATGTAAAGAAAAGAGATTGAAGACAAGTTAGAAAATTCATGTATAAGAATTCCAATGGCACCTATACAAAGAAATTCTTTAATGTAAACCTCTACTAAAGTGGGTTTTTTTGGTTTCTTGAACATGTATATACATCTTTAGAAAGCATTAGCTTACTGTTTATATAGATTTACTAAGATGTCTCCTAATAAACCTGATGAAATTCTGTTAACTATTTAGCTTAAGAGCTCAAATTTTACCTTTCAGGTTCTTTCGGAGATTAGACCATACCTCTCAGGCACCGGAGGAGGTGAACTTGAACTTCTCCACATTGATGATTATGTAGTCAAGGTTAGACTGAGTGGGCCTGCAGCTGCTGTGATAACCGTTCGTGTTGCATTAACACAGAAACTCAGGGAAAAAATACCTGCAATTGCTGCTGTCCAGTTGATGGATTGACAAAAAAATCCAGAGAGACATCGTGCATAGTAAAATCGAGAAGAAGAAGAAGATAGTTGGAAGGAAATGTAATGTTTCCTCACAGGTTTTAATTTGTTCTTTGTGCATATTTACAGCTGTTTTCTGTATACAACATTAGGGGACACCCACTACAGAGAAAAGAGCAAATTGTTCCAAATTGAGCTGTACTTACATTCCACTTTTGATGTTATCAAGGGAAAAATTCAGTCTCCGTAACTTTTAAGGTTTTAGAAGAACTAATTACAATCACATGTCTGATCCTGAAATGTTAATCTCAGGCTTCCATTTCTGCAATGTAATCGAGTGTTGAGACAAAACCGGAAAAGCTTGGTTAAATTATATGTTTTATTCAAATAGTAATTACAAGCAGTACATAAAATGGATCTTGAAATTACAGCCAACAAAAGTTTCTAAGAGTATAAAAAACTGTTCTTTTCTTCTCTCCTTATATTTGTATATTGTCTAGTAATCATCATCTTGATCAACTCTGGACCCAAGGAATCTCCTCACAACAGCAGCTGCAGCACCAAGAAACAAGAACAGAGCTATGGTTTCAAAACCACCTCCAATGCCAATGGCAACACTAGGACCAGGTGCAAAGAATGAAAACGGGGACCAACCCCAGCCTCCGTAAAATGGCACACCGAACCCGTACCCATATCCTCCCACTAACGGAGGAGCAACCGGTGGATTTACATAAATATTGGTCCTGCACAGTAACATAACAGGCATATCATGATAAAAATGGAAATTTGGGATATCATAAACCATAATTCTCCGTATAACACTAGAGTTTATGCATTTCCCAACTTCCATCACAAAAATAATTTTGATTAAATTCAAAATTTTACTGATACTAATTTCTTCCTGCAGACACAATCATTTTCTCCAAATGGGAAAAAACAAAGAAACTAACCCAACTCTATTATTCACTCTTTTTCTTTTTACTTCACCTAATTCAAATCTACTACCGCACCCATATTCAATTTCTATTTTGCATTGAACTTCTGTTATTCCAATCTCAAGCTTGAAGATTCAAAGAGTTAGTCTTCCCAATCAAGTTAGAAGATTGAAACAATTGATTGAAAGAAACAGCAGATAATCAACTGTCTGAAACAATTTTTTTTTTTTTTAAAATAAAGAAATTAAGAATTATTACCTGGAATAGTTATTGACTCTTGGAGATGAACGAGGAGCTGATGATCTGAACGCTTGGCCACCAACTCTACCACCACTCTTGGCGGCTGATGCATCCCCAACTGAGCCCAGAGTCAGCACCCCAGCTGCAATTGCCACAATCGCTATCTTCGCCAATTTATTCTCATTTTTCCTGCAAAGCAACAATACCCACTAATAATTCTTCCTCCCCACTGTGTTATATATGTATATACATGCATATATAATCAAGTACCTGGAGAAGTTTTCGTGGTTGTCTTGTGGGTGTTCACAGTAGACGATGTTGACGGCGTTGAGAAGCTTTGTTTTGGGTTTGTTGTGGGGTAAAGTAACGGCGTTAAATAGGAAGCTCTGTTGAGATGAAGCTATGGCTATGGACATTTTTCGTCAAGGGTTTGTTTTTTACCTCTGCAGATTCTGTTAAACAGCGAAAGAAATGATATGAAGCTATAGTTCGCTTCAGTTAGTCTCAGTATAGAAATGGCGGAGATTGTCTCTGAGCTGAGATTTCTTGAATGTTTCATTTTTTAGTTTTATCGTTTTCATGATACCCAATTTGCCACGTGGTGCAATATTAGTGGATGGATGGATGGAAGATTCAAGAATAACAAATGTCTCAAATATACAACACTTAAAACTATAAATGATCTCTAAACAAGAGGTGATGGATTATTTGTGTACATCTAAAGTTTACTTTTTTTCATGTCGTAGTAATTGTATATTTATCACCTAATTAATTAATATACAAATTTTTTAAAAAAATTGCATCAACTATTTTTTGATATAAAAATAAACTGTAATATTAAATTTTATTGTATGAGATTTTATAAACAATAACAAATAAATTATTAATTTAAAAAATTAATCGATGATTACATTTTAAACTCTAAAAAAAGTTCATCACAATACAATAAAAAAAATAAAAGATTTTTAAAAAAATAACTCAAAAAATGACTTTTATTAATTAATCAAATTAATAAATTAATGAAAATATTCTATTTATTTTTATTATCATTAATGTATTAACTTAATTGATTAGTTAGAGTCATTTTTTGAGTTATTTTTTTAAAAAATATTCAAACACGACCAAATTCCTTTATTTTTTAGTTAGAAATTGAGGAATTGTGCATTTGAATAAATAAAATATCAAAGATTTGATTAAATGAAAAAAATATTAAAATTAA